TATTTAATTTCTTCATAACAGTGTTTTCCCCTCGAGTGTCTCATCTTACTTTCTGTTCATAATAATGGAATACTTTACTTATTTAAGCTCAAGTCGACTTACAAGTTTGCAGTCCACTGGCCCAGGTTCACAAAAAGAAATTTCTTATTGATGTTTGACAGTCAACTGGGATACCGATTGTTTTTTTCAGCATTTTTCTCACAAGGAAATTTAAGTAAAATATTATTGCTAATGTGTCTGAGCCCATAATGGAATTGCTCTGAATTCTGCTTGTTCAGGACATGAATATTCTACCTTTGGTTCCTCTCTTAGTCCCTTCAACACATTTGAATCTAACTTGGTTTGCTTTGTTGATAGAATATAAAAGAAAATATGAAATGCAATTATCATTCTATGATTATGCAATTAAGTGAAATACTTACTGTCAAATCAAAAGTCCAAAATTCAAGTGCTCCTTTAAGTAATAATCACAGAATGTTTGGGGTTGGAAGGGACCTCTAGAGATCATCTAGTCCAACCCCCCAGCCAGAGCAGGATCGCCTAGTAATATAAACAATATGTAATTGCTATAAAGCCTAGTTCTGCCAGCTAGAGCAGTTCTTTTCCAGTCTCCCATAGGGCCTGGGATCGGTTTTGTTGCTGACTTCATCATGACACCATACACAAATTTGTCTTGATCTTTTACTTTTTTAGCTTATTTTGTTTTCTCATTGTCGAGGTTTGATACCCGATCACCTATATGTAACTTAATTCCTAGAAGTTATTTGATGTATGCCCTTGATTTGGCTCGTTCTGACCAAGTTCCTCATGGAAACTTACTCTGCCATGTCAGTGCCAGTGGACAGAAAGAACAGCTTTACCAGTCTCAATATACCTTGAAACTAGATTGCTGTTAAATGTTTGTTAAACATATATTTAAAATGATTTGTTGTGAAATTGATTATACTTAAGCAAAATTTTCAAGGACAGCTATTCTCCACTTACGGTATTGCTCAACCAATACCTAAATGAAATAGCAGCTACTGATTTGTAGGTAAGGGGGATATTTTTTCCTCTTTCTCCATCCTCATCTTTATAGAATACTGTAGATACCCTTTTATTAAAAATGTTGAGGAGACTTCCAGAGGGAACTTGTTTATAATTCTAATGTTGAGCACATCACTTTGGTTACAGCCATTTTGAACGGAGCTATTTTAGCTGTGTCAGCTGCAAACGTGAGATGACTGAGACAGAACAGTGAGGGACAATAAGGATAATCTCAGACCCAGCACCAGCCATGCTGCCTAACAGACCTTCTCTTTCTTCCACTTTTTCTCTTCCTCAAGTAACTTGTTTCCATTGTCCATATCCCTGACTAGGACGCCAGATCTGTTTTTTATTCTGTTCTTTTTCCTCAGCCTAAATCACTAAATCCTAAATTATACCTCAATATCTTTGTCCAGTCTTGTCTCCAGTAGTGGATAGGAAAAGCTGACAGAGAACAAGATACCACTGCACAAGGTTTCATCTTGAAGACGATGTCGGCCTTAGTGATGGACACCTTAAACATGGTGCATTAATGAGAGATAAGACTTAATAGTCTTTACAATATTTGTTAACATTACCTACTATAACTTTGTAAAGTCCACTGTACATATCGCCAGCTTGACTTCAGTGATCCCAGTGGCAATAAGTTAGGTACAAAATATGCAGCGATGCTCTTTTTTTCAATCAACTTTGTATTCACCACTTTTTAATTCCACCAAACACCTTACTGTTTTGTTGTGGAAAACCAGCAATCTGCCTATGTACTTCGGCATCTTGTATTTTCCATTTTTGGCTGACAAGAACTCCTAAGTGTTTCTTGTTCCAAGTACATCTACCTTTACGAAAGGTTCCTGGGAAATTCTGCAGTCTGTGTCCCATTCTTCTTCTATATACTGAACTCAGTAGGGCAGCTACAGAGTAGGCGAAACTGCTGCTTTTTGCATGTGTTACAGTTTTAATCAGGCTCTTCAGTTCTATGCTCAGATACTTCAGAAATCTACCACATAGGACTTCTCCTCTGATTTACAAAGGAGGCACATATTCTAAGTATAGATAAAAATTGCACCATTTAAATGATAATACCAAGATGTTTTGTAAGGGGAGGAGATTCATGCAGGGCATTTTTACTACGAGCAGCTCTTTCATAGGGCTATCTATCCTCACACCAGATGTCAAATACAAAAAGAAATACTTTGGCATGAATAACAAAGTTCATTTGACTGAAGGATTTACCTCCTAGGAACAAGAGTCTCATAAAACATAAACATTGGGAGCAAAGTGAGCCACGTAAGGGCTTTTGCAAAAATTAAACCCATAACTTGCCACTAGAAATGGGATGTTTCATCTGTTCAATAAGCACTAAAGTTCTCTTTGTTTTTATGGCATCGTAATCTTTGATTACTCTGATAAATATTTGGACTATACAAAACATTGCAATGGAACTAATCGCAGTTATAAAAAACACTATGTGTGAAAATGAATTGGGAATGTAATGATACCAGCACATTTTAGAGAAGTTCAAATACAGAACCACATTATTTTAACTGGCTCCCGGCCTCATTCTTTTATGTCTCCATGTAGTCATTTACACCTGAGGTAAATGGTTATGAAAGTTGTTATGCTTGCTGGCTTTGCATAAGCATGATTAGGTAACTACACCAGACACAGAATACCACTCTGTGTGACTGGGTGAACTCAAACCACACAACAGAACAGTAGCAAATTTTAGCAAAAAAATGTGATCCTGTGTCAAGGATTAGGTCTCTGTATGCTAAAGCCTATTTGTAGAATTCATGCTCTCACTCGCAACAACCATGTATAAAACAGCTGCTGTCCCAAGAGGGAGATCTTTCTTTCCTATCCTTTCAACTCACTGACTATTTCCCTTTGTTTTTTATTGCTCAGATGACAGACTGGAACATCATCCTGCTGGCAAATTATATGTGTAATCTTACTCCCCTCTTTGTTTAAAATTACAACTTATTACAGTACTCTGAACGAATGTGAGGTTGCAGAAAGGCTCTAGGCATGTCTGTATTGTTTCACAGTTGTAAGACTGTTTAGTGCTATTTATTCTTTTATTGTAGGAGAGGGAATCCCTTTCTCATTCAGATGCCAGGGGCTGCCATTCTGCCCACCATTGAGCTGGAGAAGATCTCTTGCAGGAAGAGCATTTCAAGAAGAGCTTTCCAATGTCTAGACCTGCTTTTTATAATTCAAAGTAAAGAAAATGATCAGACTTCTTTGGGGGCTGGAATCACAGAATTGCTGAGGCTGGAAAAGACCTCTGAGATTACCAAGTCTAGCCTATGACCCAACAGCATCACAACGGCCAGACCATGGCACTAACTGCCACCTCCAGCCTTTCCTTAAACACCTCCAGAGATGGTGACTCCAACACTTCCCTGGGCAGTGCATCCCAATGCCTGATCATAATAAAGCAACATGATTACTTTCCAAAGCAAAAAGCTTTTCTCTACTTCATTGTATTCTGAGAAGATGCATTCATGTAAATAAAGTTCAAGTGCAAATCATGTGAGATAAGAAAGTAATTCAGTGGTGAAAGTAAGTCATGCCTAGTATAGCACCAGCAACATTTATGAAGTGGTAACAAGAATATATTTAAATTAGTGGGCTCTGTATTTATATATTACTGATTATGATAGTGTAACATACTGTCAAATATTTTTAACACATTACTTTTAATAGCAGAAGTCTGCGTTTGGTTCCAGCAGACTAAACCCAGAACAACTGAACCAAAGCCAATGGAGATAATTCAGATATCACTGACTGGAACAAAGAATGTGAATTTACATTTAGCATTTATATAGTCCTTTTCATCTTCAAAGAGCATCACAAATATTAGCTAGTTCTAATTCTCTCACAATGACCTTCATGCTAACCTTTTAGGACAAAAGTGATATGAGAAAAAAACAACTGACAAGATGTGTACTCAAGGATACATCAAGCCTCAGATATGTAAACTACGTCTACCTTGACCTCTAACTCTGCCTCACAGAGATTTTGTCTCATCAATAATATAAGGCCTTTCACCATAGCTCAGGTATTAAGTCACCATACAATGTATTTTACTATCATAAGATGAGGGTAATAATCTTTGAATAACAGATCTACTATCACAGTTATAGGCTACAGCTATTCCTTTCTAAAAGATAAGGAACCCAAACTAATACTGCATCAAAAAATTCCCTGGAGGCTGTCACAGGACAAGCCAGGGACACATCTAGGTTAGATGTTGAGATTCTGTGGTTTTGAATTCCTACTCTTCAGCCCTTCTGGGGTCTTTTTTTTTTTTCTTTTTTTTTTTACTCCTTCCAATTCAAATTAGGAATTTTGTAAGTCTCTTTTTAGAGAGCTTTCTTAGAAGCAGCCAAAGCTTCTTTTATGCAATGGTTCCCTCTGCCCTCCAACCCAGACTGGCCATCTGATTATCAAATCTGGGTGGCTCTAAGCCCAGAATCTCGAGTAAGTTCACCGTGTTCCAGTTGCTTGCGCACTTTATCCAGAGGAATAGATTGAAGCAGTTACCATTTTCATGGTGTCCCAGAACAGTTATTGTTACAAGAACACCTTTAATCTCCTGTTTGTTTCTGAATTGAATTGAAGCGGGAAGAGATGAAAGAAAGTGTCTCACAAATCTGCTACTACAGCTGCTATTTCTTAGTTTATCATATGCTAGCTCTAAATTCTGATTCTTCTTAAAATTATTGCTTCTATTTCTTAATTTGACAACCAGGCATTCAATGCGATTTTTTGACCAAGAAAACTCTCACCTCCCACTTTCTTACAGCTACTTCCTTAGGAATCAAAAAACAATAAACCCAACACCTAAACTTACTGCATTATGATATCAGTGTGTGAATTTAACTTCTCCTTTGGTAGGTTTTCTTATGCAGCATACAAATAAGCAGCTAAATAATACTTAATTACTTACAATTCAGGAAAAGACTTACAAAATAAACTGAAGAGTGAAAGAAGGATAAGGGCCATGCTGATATGAAGAGCATCAGTTGCACTGCAGTCCATTTTGGATTTCTTGCAGGAACACACTTGTAATTTCAGTTCTGTGTTGTTAGTCAGAGGCGGTTTTCCAGAATCTGTCACTGAGATTGGGATGTTGTAATTGGCCTTTTTCAGGTTTTGAAGCAGGATGACCTCAGCATGAGTATCTGCAAAGGATAAGGTGACAATTAGCCAAACAGTGGTTCTTTGGAAGGGAAAAGCAATCTGCAAACAATGTCAGACATGCCACGGTTACTCATGGAAATTAAGAAGAAAATGGGAACACTCTAAGGAAAAGATTAGAGAACTGAACTTGAGGTAAGAAGAGGCAGTACACAAATTCTTTCATGGGTTAAGAGCTAATTGCAATCTTATTCCAAATCCCACCAGAAGAAAGATTCTTAAGAGCCCCTTTTGTTTAAAAACATTATTTGGTCGGCAAATTTTTGGCAGAATCTGTCTGTGGAAATTAATATAATTAATGAAATACTAAGGCATGTCATCTCCAAAGCAACACAAGAGGGAAGAATATATCTATTTGCTAAATTAAAAACCCCTTCTTGCTAGGAAGTACAGGCAAATCTGCTTAACAGCCTCCCCAGTTGGACTGAGAAGGCAGTGAAGGGAAGTAAAGGCCCTGAAGATCCATGATCTGCTCCACCTGAGTGACAGCAGGTCCCTGGTACTGAGCTGAGTGTGCTATAGCCCATTCAAAAGTTTCATGCTCTCCTATAGCAAAGCTTTGTGCATCTCATGCAAACAAATGCCATGCAAAACTGTAAGTCATTAGTAGCATTTCTTTAACGCAAAGCTAAAAAAAGAAAAGTTTGATCAACGTTATGTAAAGAGGAAAAAAAGTTCAGATTTCAGAGAAACTGCAGGCAAGTGCTTAGTATGTCGCAGGAGGCGGCTGGTCCACGCAGAAACAACACAGCATAAAGCAGCAGCAACAGGTCTGTCCTGCAAGATTTTCATGCCCAACTGCTCCTGAATTCACATAACAGACAGCCTCAGGGTGATCATACCGGGATGTGGATGTGGGAGGACTAAATGCGTAAGAAAAATAGGTGATAGACTCACTGTTAAGCTTGGTGATTCTCCACATTTTTTCTGGGCTGGATTGCTTACTCAATTCAAATTTGAATGGATCTGTGTTGGGATGTAAGTCTTTGTCTGATGCTCCTAGTACCACTACCCTGAGATCCTTTGCATCGTCACAAACTTTTGCAAGTGTTGGATAAAGGGATGGGACGTTGTCATTTACATCTTCCAAAGTGATGTGTAAAGTTCCTGTACCTGTAGCAGGAGGGTTACCTATATGAAAAACAAATATATGTTTATTAAATCATACTTCCAAAACCACTTACTCTTACTTGTACCTGCATGCTTGCAAAGGGAAATAGTTTTTATCGTTCTTACCTCTGTTATTTGAAAAATCATTGCTTAAAAACCCTGTTGAGTCACTACTGTAAATTCGTTGCTGTATTTTCAGGATGCAGCCTGTCCGAATCTCTACAGTATGGATAATTATTCTAAGGAAACCTCTGGGAGAGGAATATTTTGAAGTTAAAGATATTAGTATATGAATAGATCATCTTGAAAAGAATCTGCTCATAAACACATACTGAGAGAAACATAGTAGGAAACAACCCCTAGATGGAGAGCACAATATTAGAAGTACCAAGAACAAGACAAATAAGAGGAAAAGTGACAGCAGAGAGGAATGAATTTGTATGGTGGGTGCCCATAAACAGAATAGGACCAGATCATTCCCCAACAATCCTTAGGGCCACATTTAGTAATTTCAGCAGAGGGAAACCTGTCAACATATAACTCTGAAAAATGAGATCTTTTATTTACCCAGAGCCACCCTGTGTTAGCAGTGGAGTTTCAAGCTTTCTTGAATTATTTGCCAGCCTGCCTTGACCTGAAAAAAACAGCTTCAAAGGTGAGGATGTTGTTTATTCACCATGGTACTGCCACAAGCCTTTGTGCCAAGGCTGTGACTGACAAACCAGCTGTGGTGCTGGAAGTGCTTGTAACGGGAGCCAGACTGCGACTAGCATCTCATTTCACAGAGGTCAGAGAGGAGCTGACAAGTGGTAGGAGCTTTCACTCACTACAGATGTGTGCCATGGTTGAGCCAGTAACCTACTGCTTTCAGTCCAAACCTCATTATGGATCCCTTTGCCATCCCATTTTAACTGGTCTTAAAGTTTTCTAAATGCATATTACTTCCTTCATTGTATATCATACTTAATAATTTCTCGTTTGAAATGCTGCACTTTGGGATTGTGTTACTCATTTTTTGGCTTAGTACACAAGATCTATGATCTCTGCGCTTCCCTTAGCTGTAAACCCTGAGCAGGCAGAAAGGATTCAAGAGGTTGCACTTAACCTGTAAAGCGCTAGTGCAAGGTGTCATGGTAGTTTTAAGTTTAGAGCTGAAAGAGATATGCTTTAGCATAATTATCCTTCCTCTAGCAGCCCGATAAACTATGGAATTATTGCTATGCTGTGAGTGCATCCTAAGGGAGAAGTAAATACCCTGTGGTCTGGATCTGATAAACTACTAACTCTAGCGGAATGCAATTAGTCCTTTCAATAACAAATGTTACTAATGGTGACACTTCATCTGTTTCATGCACACATAAATGCATAACAAAGGCGGAATTTTCATAGTCCTTTAGTTTTCTTGCCATCCTCATCTTGCACTTTGTCATCAGAAGGGTTAGGGTTGAGCTCTTTTTAATGAAAAAGAAATTATTTTTCACTTTTTATTGGACTAATTGAATTTGCAGAAAGACTCTAATACATTTTTTGTTCTTGATATATTATTAAGTAAAGTCATACGGAAGAATGGATGAAAAGACTTTTGAGTATTTGAAATATGATCATAAAAGTCAGCCTTTCATGCACTTAATTAAACTGCTGTCTTTAATTTTGAATGCATTATTTCCACAGTGGACTGATAATGTCTTATGCACTGCCCTTCTTATCTTTCTCTGAAGTCAGTAATACTAAAATCTGCCTTTTGAAATTAAGAAGCTAACAGCATTATGAATGTACTGTTATTTTGTCAAACGCCGATATGGCTGCATTTTCTCTGCCATGCAAATGTTTCACTCTCTTTGTATGGTTTATGGGCCAGTCAACTATTACGCACAAATAGAGAGAAAGGAAATTGCTTCTGTCCATTTCAATGACATTCTCTGATTGATTTATTTACAATGATTTTAAAAAAATCTTTTGGTAGTTTATGAAGATCTCCAAAAGAAAAATAAGCAAGTGTCAAGGTCATAAGCTGAAGCTTGTTAATACGCGTCGTAACAAATTCAACAAAAATGAATCAAGGAAAAATGGTCACATCATATCCATTGGGAATATATGACTTTTATGAATTTGACAGAATTATGCATTTGAAATAAATCCCATGATCCCATGATCTCCAGCAGCTTTCCTTTTGAAACGAAAGATTTCTGCAGTATATTTTAATTCTGAAATAAAACTTCTCTTAATTTGTTTTGTAAAACCTTGCAGATGAAAGCCAAATTAATATGTGAACCAAGACATAAAGGGCTCTGTCCATCAGCCCTTGGGAGCAGGTTTTCAAACAAGCTCTGCTCTCATCTTTGTCACAGAGCTGAACTGGCCATTCTTCCTGTGGCTGAGCTCTGTAAACCTTTAGGTGCCTTTAGAGCCATTGAGGCTACAGATAAGTCAAATTCCTGCTAAAGCTCCCATATGGCATAGCTGTGGATATTCAATGACAAACATATGGATGAAATAGCAATACTCACATGGGTAAAAGCTACTAAAACAGAGACTGAAGGATGGCTGACTTCATACTGAAAGAAAGAGAAAGCCTCACATCGAATCCTGATGTTAGTGATCTAAGGCAAGACTGAGAACCTTGAAAAATAATCTTCAACGAGATCGAAACGCGAGTAGTATCTTTCCAGTTGGTTAAGGTCTGTGGGACTAGAACTTTGATCAGCAACACTCTAAAGTACAGATGTATCTTAGAACGTGCTGCAATTGGAACTCTATGTTACATTTATTTCAATTGGATCAGGACTGGTAACGTCTTTGTTTCTTGCCATCAGACTGCAGACAAAGCTTCTAATAGCACCATTCAGTTAGGAAGAAGCCACTGCTGTTGTAAGATGTAACAAGTGAAAACTGGAATAACAGAAGTAGTTCTATTTTATGAGTCAGAGATTGCCATGGAATGATCGGGTCTATTGTCTGGGAACTAGAATCTGTAAAGCAAGGGACTGTTACCAGAAGATGTAGCTATTAAATTAGATTTTAGAGTTCTCAGCATAAATGACCCTGTTACTACCTTTAGTTAAAAAAAAAAGAAGTTTCAAAAGAAATTATTATAGGAACAGATACTTTGTATATTTCTGTATACTTGAATTTTAATGAAAAGCCATGCACAATTACACTAGAATTGTTAGTGTAAAATCTTAAATTATAAGCTGTCTGTAGAAACACACGACCAAGAAATTTAAAAATTGACATTCAGTTTTGGTTCAAAAAGTTCCCATAGGAACAATGATGGCATTTAGACATCTAACTACTCAAATGAGACTGCCAATCAGGTAGTTAGTTTCTTAAAAGATACCAATTACACACAATGACGGCCATGGACTAAGATGACATTTCTCTTAAGTATAAAGACTTGTATAAAATAGCATGTCTAACAAGCAATCACATAGTTGAATGGCTGATGATGCATTTAATCTGAGCATAACATTTTTATGGACATGAAGAGCCATTTCATGTCCCAATTTCTAGTTTTTTTCTACAGAACTGTGATGTCGTTGTGTACAGATTTCTAATATGGCTGAGCTGTGCTCTGTGAAATTAAAGACCATATCTGGACTGTTTTGAAACTGAATTATGACATTCTTAATCAGTTCACACTGAAAACCAACAGCTTTCCTTTATTTGAAATGACATCAAAAATATAGAAGGTGAGATTTTCTGGTATGTCTCCCACAATAACCAGCCAAACATCCCTAAAAAAAAATCAGTGACAGTTGAGAAATTAATTTTTAGGGTATCCAAAGAAAAACTCACATGTGACTGAGGGCTGCAAACACAGCAACCTATTTCTTTGCACAATGCAGACACAACTGCACTCCTATTCTTGTCTTCCTACTGTTAGCATCGTAAAGGACTGATAGAAAGATCCACACTGCATGAGTACGTCCACAGTCACGTGTCGATGTCTTACAGTATCTTCTGCAGGCGCATCTACAGAAGCTTTAAAATGGTCAATGTAGATGCTAATAACTGTGGAGCCTCACATTATTAATATGAAAGTTATTTTTATGCGTTTTAACTCTAAGGGTGACTTCCATGGAACACTTTGAGTTCATACGTATTTTTCTCTTCATGCTAAGGAAGCCTTGGGGACACTACACTGACTACACTGGTATCTGAGTCACATCAAGCTGGTATTTTCACATTCAGTCATGTTTTTTTCTCCATCAACCAAGCTCTGTCAACAACAGCAATAGCGGGAGAAGCAATTTAGGCACTTTGCTGTATTCACGACAGTTACCACATTTAGATGCTCTATTCTCTTCTGTGAGCACAGCTGAGAACAAGGGCAGTTAGAAGGACCGATCCACCTACAGGAAATTGCTGGTGTGTACTCAACAGAAGTTGGTCAGAAACACGTTCTATGCTGGTAGAACATTTTCAAGATGGAAGTGTTGTTTAAATGCATCTCAAAGAGAGAAAATGTCATGAAGATTTAACTTTTTTCTTCCAGCTTTCCCTTTCCAATTCACAGCAAATCTCAAGATTAGTCAAAATGATCGTGGTTACATTTTCTAAGCATTCAAAAACGTATTCAGAACTTAGAACAGCCTTGAACATTTGTGGTTACAGAGAGCTTAGATTGTCCCTGAAAAGGAAGATGCATATTCCTTAAAGTATTTGGAAGATTCCTAAGAACAAGTCCAAGTAAAACAATTGCTTGAACATTGCTGCTTAAAACATAAAATCATATTAATTGGTCAAGAGACCACCCAAAATCAAAGACTTAAGCTGATGTTGTCCATTCTACTTGCACTGAGTTCTGAAATTTTTAAATCCTTCTTTGGAATGACTGAGATATATTTATCTTTTTCTTTTTTTTATTTTTAGAATTGGGTATTTAAAGTATTTTTATTTTAAGATTTAAAGGATATTATAAAAGAAACAAATTGGATTTAATATGAATATTTCAAGTAAAAAAAAAAATCATATAATTTGTGAAAACCAACAGAAAAATCCTCGAGAAATATTTTACCTTC